TGTATTTTAATATATAATTATATTCCTATAAACTTTAATTTATTTAATTCATTTAATTCATAAACTTTAATTTAATTCATTGACAGTATATTTAAATTAATGGTATTTTTCTCTTTGAATAAGATTTAACTGGGAATATAGGTTAAATATATGAAATACATCAAAGCCCAGACACATAAAAAATTTAAGTTGAAGTTATAATATTATTTTCTAATTAGCAAACAAACAAAAAGTCAGTAATGTTCCATTAACCTAGAATATGATTATGAATTTTTAAAAATCTCAATCAGATTTTAGTACTGTATTATGATAACATGTATATTCAGGTGATTTAACTTCTGAAATACCCTTTGAATAAGCAAGAAAAATATCCAAGAGGGGTTTTAACAATAATCATATTTAATTATGTTCAAATTCTCTGAAAAGTAGTAGTATATGCATAAATGGACATTTAACATTTAATATCAAAAACAGTTGGATAGGATCTTTCAAGAGACCTAGTGGTACCAGATCAACTGCCAAGTACCAGTCCTGTTAGATAAATATCCAGTTGTTTATAAAAATGCATAAAATTATGATTAATAAGCAGTAGCTACATAGAAGGAACTCTGATGATTTGACTTGGTGATACTTTTGTATGAATGGCTTAGACAGATGAAAAAGAAGCAAATATCCTGAAACCATCAAAATGAATAGGATAGTTAATATGTGGGATGCAGATATCAACAAAGGTCTTACTATATGTGTGAGATTTAACAGGGATGATTGTAAAGTTTTATTTCCATTTTCTAAAATACCAATTGTAAAAGATGGTTGTGCTGAAAAAGGTCTAGGAAACCTGGCTAATGAGAACAGCAATGTAAAGTGATCTCAGTATAAGTTAATGATCTCGCCATACACAGAAATTGTGATCAGATCACAATTAGAGTCCTATGAAGAAGTTAAGGTAACAGATTTCAAAACACATATTGATACTTCGGGATGTTTCTAAAAGAGTTATTCAAGTCATGTAAGAAATGGCTGAATGTAGGCTATCGTATCAGTTAAAATACCTTCCTAACCTTCTTTTTCTAAACTGAAAATCTTAGAAACTGTTCCAAATTGTTTTCTATTTGACAGAAGTTAAGGATTTATATTCTCATTGTATTGAGACTTCAGGGATTAAATATTAACAAGTTTATCAAACAATATGAAAAGTACTTACCCCTCAATACATTTAGAATAGTGTTTTACAGATTGAGATTATATTACCCACAAAATAATGACTCTAAAACTCTTTATAAGGAAATAAAGACAATTTGAATATATTTTAACTAAATGTTATAAATGTAAAAAGTTGATGCTGGAAATATCAATACATTGTGATGTGAATGCTTTACCCACAAGTATATGAGGATAAATTATTCTGTGTTTTTTAATTTTGGGGGCTAAGACTCAGATAAATGAAACATGTTAACTTCATCTTGCACTTATCTCTGCTAAATTTAGTAAGAAAGAAAGGTGGGGGGATTCCAAGGAGTAACCTTTCCAGGGTAAAAGAATCTTAACATTTTAACTTGTCTACTTGATTTGAACTACACTGATAACGAAAGAAATAGCGTGTCTGACAAGCCTTTTAGCTTTTTGCTCTGCTCTGAGCATTGCACCAGCAGAATGCCATAATTATTTTTCTTGTTGGATTTTATGTTCAAGTGAAGCTACCTAGACATGATTGATATGCCATGAAAAAGTTATAGTTTTAATTTTTTCCCTAACTATAAGTACACAGTTGATAGAATTATTTCTGTACTTAACTGTTTCTGACTTTTTATGATTGAACCAGTTTCAATTACTCTATTGTCTGTGTAGCCTTTAAGCTAAGATATATTAAGTGCTTATTTATGGAGATACAGTGTAATTGACAGATATATTGTCTATACACATGTAGAATTTTCTATTTCTGATTTCATCTGTTACATCTATTTTCTTCATAATGGTATGAAAAGTACTTAAAGAATGTTATTTTCCCAAAAGATGTTTCAAGGCCACCGAAATTTTATCCCTGAGGAATAAAATAAAACAACCTCCTAAAAAAGACAAACAAGTTGTAGGATGAAGAGACTTTGATGGAAGAAGCACACATTCCACACTGAAATTAAGGTGTAGTAGGACTTCATTTTGGGAATTTCAATCCTGTAACAGAAGATATTTGTGAAGAAAATTCCTTAGATCAGAAGTTTTAGTCCAGTTTTGACACTGTGATAGCTGATCATGGAAATAAATATGGGAGGCATATATATTTAATTTGTTTTGGTTTATATTTTCTATGCATGTCCAATATATTTTTTTCAATAGTCAATGATTTCTGAGTAATTGAAAAATGCATGGATATTTCCCATTTTCTCCAGTTCTTGGAATTGGTAAACATACTGTAGGGTGATGTCAAAATTACTATTGGTCTTAACTAATTATAAAAATTCTACCTTACAATTCAATGGCTGTATAAATAAGTAGATATCTATAATGGAGATCTCCAATCATTGCAACTGACTACAGCTATACTCAATCATTTATGGTTTATTTAGTTCTTCATGTATTCTAAACTCTCTATGGTAAAGTTGGTAGTTTCTTGATCCCAAGATCTGATTAATTGCATCTTTTTCTGACCTCCTAAATATATTGTAAATTCCTGTTTTATATGTTTGTGTCCACATCCCTCCCCATCACCATGAGAAGCTGTGTTATTTTTAGTTAGGGAAGTTATCTATGAAGGCACATATACACATATTAGTTCCTCAATAACTAAATTAAATAGTGTTTGAAACAAACATCTCAACAGTGATACCAACATCTTTACTTGGTTCGAAAATTTTATCAAATGTTGAAATTTACTCATGTTAATAATAATATTCATAAATATTCCCTGAGGACTTGTCATATGCTAAGCACTGGCTGAAAGCTTTGTATGTCAGATCATATCTAATTCTCATGACAACTCTAAGGTAGAGTTAGAATTATTATCCTAATTCAAAGGAAGAGGAAATAGATGCTTAGAGAAGTTAGGTCACTTGTCCACATCTGTCCAACTCCACAGCTAAAGTTCATAACATTTTTCCTTTAGACTGTTGAATGTTACTTGATTGATAATCAGTTCAGTTGACCCTACACTCGCCAATGTCCAGGGCACTTCTGGTGAGTTAATAAATATTTTTATAGCTCTTAGGGTCACATTATAGAATACTTCACTTAGTTATGCTAAGCTCACTAAACCTCTACATAATAAATTATTTCTAAATTAAATTGTGTAACAACCATTTTCTTCTTAACTGTACTCTCTCTGTCAGGTTATTTATCAAATACTGTTTTATTACCTTCTATTCTGATAAAGAATCATTCTTTTACAAAAGTATCCATCACTTAAGTGATGTGCAGTGAATATCTCAGACCATACATTCTCACATTCTCTAGTATCTTTATTTAAATCATTCAAAACTGCTACATCTTTGTTGAATGGGCTATTCTCTTCTTATAGTTCTGGGTTATTTTACGTGTTGGCCCTACTGTTTGGAGTGTTCTTTCTCTGCTCAACAAACCCTTACTCATTTTTTAGTACCCAGATCAAAGATCAAGTGCCACCCCCTCTTGAAGTAATTCTTGAATTTCTCATGACTCAATCACAGCTGTGGCTACATATTATGTTGTATGCATTTCTTTTTAGCATTGCCTATTATTGATATGTGAATCTTGAGCACTAACTATGAACTCCTCAATCATAAGGAGAATGTCTTATTTATCTTTGCGTTTCAAATATCTGCCAAGGAGTTTGGCAATATCCTAGGAATACAAAGCCTTGCAAATTCTTAACTATGCAGTTTGTAATAAGAGAGGGAATATAATATGAAACTAAATGTTATATATATATTAAAATGATTATTTGATATTGTATTTAGCATGGATGTTTATATAATATTCATTTCTGTTTTATTCAAAATTATTTATAAATTAGTTGATTCTCAGTGCTAAAGTGGATATAATTTCTTTGTAATAATCTAGAAGATAGAATTTTAGTTATCCTATGTACACTCTCCACATAATCCCCTGTCTGAAGAACATCTGAAAAACTGATGATAAAATTATATATGTATATAAATATTAAATAGAACAAAAATGTCTGCATGCTCAAGAAATAGATATAACTGAGCCATAATTCCTAGTTTGGATTTTAATGCTCAGAACTTGTCAGATACTTTACAATGAAGTGGCCTAGTTTCCACTCACTAAGTCCTAAAGCTTTATTAATTTTCAAAAATTCAGTCTTTGAAATTTCACAAAATTGAAATCATGTCATAAGTCTTCCTAATCTCCAAAGGATATTATCATAGTATTAGTTTATATATGGGAGTAGACTAATTTGAGTAATAGCTAAGAGAAGCTTACAGCTACTTTTAAAAAGATCTAATGAGCAGGTTTTTCTATTAATACCTTATGCTGCTTCATGCAGGGACTCTTCAAATATATATTTAAAACTATATTAGAGACCTAAAAGAATTGGATGCTTCTAACATAAATGTGTAAAAGTAAAGGTACACCCAATTTGCACTTAAAAATATGTGTAACTTTTAGTTAGTGGTCTCTTAATGTGGCATCTATAGACATGCATTTCAGGGAGGGAGAGAGAGGAGAGAGAAGGAGGAAGAGAGAGAGAGAGACTGAATGACAATATTAAACAATATCAAATTTCAAATGGCCATCTGAACTAGGGCTACAATGTGCTATAATAGAAGTCTAGTTCTGATATGCCATAGATTCAGCGGTATAGAAAAAGAAGATGATTATGAATATTATTAATATACATGCAGTAATCCATTTTCATTTTTTTAAAATGATTTTTCATACAACTCAAATGTGTTCCTCTGAACTGCCTTACTTCAGGAGTCAGATGAATCAATGGATGAAGACAAAGAACTCGATGCTGATGACAAAAGCATGGTGAAGCTTGAAATCTTTTGTCCAGACTATACCTTTTCATCCAAGGCCTTGTGGTGCTCAAACAAAGATTTCAGTGCCTTGAGAACTTCAACTTCACTGGATACTCCTGAGGGAGACTGGGCTTGCCGTTTTACCACCGTCATTCTTAGTGATCTTTCATGCCGTGACACGAGGCACTCCAAATGCTCCAATAATAGCTGTTGGGTTTAAGAGAGAGTGCAATTATCTTATGGATACAAGTCACCAATATTTATAAATGATTTCTCCCTTAAAATATTATAGGTTTACATCGTATTTAATGATAACCTCAGGTTATACTATAGGTAGCGTCAAAGAAGCACAAACCTGCTTAAACCAGGGTTCATAAAATACATTAAAGATAAATTGCATTTCAATCATATAACAAGTTGCTAAATTTTAAAAATGCAAATTTTATGCATTGCTTTAGCAAGTTTAATAATTTCAGTATGGATTCAGAAATAGAACACTTGACAAAATATGCATGATCCAAATTGATAATTATTATAGCACATTGCATGATGCATGATTATTTTTAAGAGAATGATATTGAAAGTCAAAATTTATTTCCTTTACATTTGGCCGTTAAAATTTTTTGAACTGGTCCTTGGCCTCTGGTTGTGGGCTCACAACCCACCACTGACGGCTGGGAGAGGGCCTGGGGACCCGGGACTGGTGTCTGTGGGTGCCGTCCCAAACGAGGTGCAGGAAGGAGGGCTCGTAGGCCTCCAGCCACTGCCCTAGCTTTCACTGCATTGTCGGGAAGGGAACACGGTCCGCCTGGGAGGCGCCCTGCGACCAGTGCGCTGAGTGCCAACGAGGACCAGGAGATGGAACAAGAAGCATTACGTTCTACTTATGAAGGAAACGAAAATTTCCGGGAATTAAGTCCAGTTTCCTTTCAATATAGGATAGGTGACAATGGTGATCCCAAAGCCTTCTTAATAGACATTTCCTGGACAGAAACATATCCCCAAACACCTCCAGTTATATCCATAAATGCTTTTTTTTGTAAACAATACCATATCATCAGCTGTAAAATAGAGTATATTAGCCAAGTTACAGTAAGTGTAAAATTAATCTTCGAACCGCCATGACCTATACATTGTTTGACGATGCCAAGGACAATAAAGAGCAGTTCATGGACTATCACCATCCCATTAATTCTGCAACATCGATGAGCAATATAATCTCAGCTGGAACTCCTACTACAGCCTCATCGAATAAGAAAAAAGACAAAAAGAAACAACTTTCAAAAGCCCAGAAATGTAAGTTGGCAGATAAAATAGATCACAAAGGGGAACGTCGTTGAGAGGTGGTAATTGGGTTGATGCTCTGAAGGATTCTTTTTTGTTAAATAATGGAAAATCTGCAGAAGTTATAACTATGGGATAGCATGACTATTTAAGCAAAACTGGCTCTAAAGACAATGAATAATGCTTGGAATTTGAGACAAGAAAAGAAGATTCTTTAAAAAGTAAATTGGGCTTACAATTTTTCATTACTGTTTTATGGTATTAAGGTGGTTTCTTACAAAACATTTTTTGCATGTTTCTTACATTAAAAATGTGAGCTGAAAGTTCACGAAGAGATCTGGTTGTATTAAATTATTTTCACAAACTTTCCTTATTAAAAGGTGAAAATGTTACTGTTTAGTATACTTTATGAAACCTGTTGAGCTTCATAAATGGACAAATATGGGGAAAAATAATCAGTGTTAACTTATATGATGTTATTCTAGTGGACGTGATATTTTTTAAAGGAATATGAAGCCCTTTTCAAAATGTCATCCCAATGGAGTAGAATGTTGACTGAACAGTTATTACATAGCATGATCTATTTTAATAGGCCTCTCATCTTAAATAAAGTCTTCATCTCTTTTTTTTCTTAATTACTGACACATATATTGCTTCAGAAATTTAAATACCAGCATTTGAACTTTATACATGATACTTTTTATAGTTCCTTTTTATTTTTCAAGAGTGAACTGCTTCCCTTTGAGAAATTAATATCTATTTATACTTTTCTCTTGATTTGGGTCAAGGTATTTGATCATAAGAGCTTTCATTGGTATGTGGAATAAGAGAATATAAAGACAAATCTACCAAATACTTTAGAAAGCATGTGTTTAAGGAGTGCTGGCTCTTATTTAAATTTCTCTTTGGGGGATACACCAGGAAGGGAGTAAAAGATGCCTTAATACTTAGTTTTTGTATTGTTGGAAACAATTATTTCAATAAATTCCTATTTATTTGTAAAACATTTTTTTGAATTGAAGAAAATGAGCATAATCATCATAATGTTGTTATAAATTAAATAATCACATGATTTTATTTGCAATTAATCTTCAGCTTACATTATAGAAAAATAAATGCAAATTGAAACATAGTAACTCAGTATCTCAATTCCCAATAGTCATTTGAGAAAGGAAGTTAAGGGCATAATATTTAAACTATGTATATTGGAACCTATATTCCCCCAGGATAGCCTCTGAGTCCATGATGAAGATGAGGCAAAAGCCCTGTGAATAGTCTCCAGGCTGTTCCAGTCTTTACACTCTAACTTTTGCCAGTAATGTTCTGATTTTAAATGTTTTCCAAATTGGGATTTCACACTTGTTTTCACTGTAAACATTAATTTTGCTGCTAAAAAACAAAGATACATGAGAAGACAAACAGAAACTACTGGTGTATTATCAGTTACTACAATTTCACCAGTGACTAGTGAAGAACCAGACACAACTGGTAAGTTTTATAGGGGAGATCTTCAGGAGAACAGTGAAAAGCATAAACTAACAAGTAGTGTCTATTTATGCAAAATAAAGGAGAAAATAAAATATAAATTATCCAAGCAAAAGAAAAAAAAAATAGCAGATATGATAGTGGAGGTGAAAAGAAGTAAAGAAACAATTTTGTTTGTCTCAAGATTTTTTTCTAAACCTTACACCATAATGAAAAATTTTGGTTTTCACTATGCCACTGTTAGATTCAGTGTCAAATATTAATATCACATTTCTTAGCGTGTCACAAGTTAATTTCTTTACACTCACTGCCACTAATTATGCTTCAAAGTGTCAGAAAACTTTGCTGTTATTGGCACAAATAACACCAATATCTGAGACCCTAGACATATATAGATCAGTAGATAAAAGTCAAATTTAAGGACTAAAATAATATTAATAGTTTTTCAGTATGAAGGTGACATAATGTTTTCAAGGAGCTTTCTTTTCATTTACCAATCTCTGATTATATTTATGGTATTCTATTCTCTTGAATTCTCCAGATACATGTGTACCAAGCTGTTTTACATGGATGACAGGGATTTGCCTGAACTTAACCCGGCCTATGTTTCCAACATCATCTGATGTCAGTCTTTCCCTGACAACTACATTTCCTCCATACACTAGCCTCCTTTCTGTTCCTTTATATGCCAAGCCTTTGCTTATGCTGCGCCCTCTGCCTGGAGTACTCTTCTTTTGGCTTCTCATTGCCTGCTCCTTCTTGTTCTTTAAGTCTCAGCTTAAAAATCACCTTTTCAATAAGGCCTTTGCTCACTACTTTGTAAAGTAGGTCTCTCTTCATCCCTGCCTCTATAATTCTCTATATCAATCTTCTGCTTCTTTTTTTCATAATACTTCATTAGTTGCAATTAAAAAATAATTTTACTAAATTTACTTTATTCTTTCATTGGACTATAAGCTCCATGAAGGTAGACATAGTATTAATATCTTCCTTGATCCTTTGAATCCTCTCTGTATTTGGGTGTTGTCTCAATTCCTGACATTTATAGGTATGTGATAAATATTTGTTGAATTAATTTTAAATATTAATAAATGAGGTAAATTTATATACCTCATTTAGGTTCAGCTAATATCAAGCTAAACCTGTGGACAGAGTTAATTGGCATCATTTCCTAAAAGCTTAGGCTAATAAACATTATTGTTATCTATATATATGCTTCAGTTATATGACACACAAGCTTTATAATACAAGGAAAACTGGTTTCCTTAACCATAATTTAGAGGTATCCTAGTTTATATAGTAATTCAACAAATATTTGAGGATCTTATGTTGCATGGCACAGCATAGGATATAGAAATACATAATAAATAGTACCCTCTAGGAAAAGAAACACAATGAGTATTATAATAAAGCTATGAAGGACATCTGTTATTAGAGACTAATCTTTTGGTCATACTCTTTACATTTGGCAAGTTCCCATTGTGAACTCTACCTTCCCAACATAGAGTACAGAAAACTACAAGTCTCAGTTGTCTGTGCTACACAATTTCTACTAATTACACACCCATGTAAGAAGTGAGCCTTATGAGGGGATAACTTGGGTGAAGGTATTCATTTTGCTCGATGGCAGTGGCAAAGGAATCATGATTTTATACAGAAAAAGAAAAATAATCCTGTTAGCAGCTTTGCAGTGAGGTTCTGGAAGTTTGGTCCTAAAAGCTCAAGCTGTGGACTGATTTTGCTAAGAATTTCTTAGTATCTATTAATAATAATTGCTTGCTTAAAATAACTAGAGTGAATTGTATTGTCTGTAACTAATAACGTGTGACACTTAAGTCATCAGGTTTTACCTACTGCTACTTTTCCTTATGCTAGTCATCTGCCACAGCCTGGGTCATTTCTTCTTCTTCGTTAAATATGTTAGCTTTCCAATCATTGTCACTTTTTCCAACACTACTCCAGTCATAAGTCTTGGTTATCTTTATTATTCATTTAGATGACTCCTCAAACATATTGGTCTCTAAATTTTAAGACTTCAGGTACTCCAACAGTTTTAATTTCTACCTTATATTTCAGTAACCCACACCCAGGGTTTCACTACAGCCTCTAAATTATCAATAAGTGTGAATTTTTTATAATTTCAATTTTATCATCTAACTCACAAATCACTACATTTTAGCTCACCTATTTAAGTTCTCAAACTCTCAAAAGGCTTTCACTCACAATCTTTTTATATAGAAATTTGTTATTGCCTCTCACCACACTCATTCCCATACTGTCTCCTTATCCAGCTTAAAAATATAACATTTCAGTCTTTATTATAATAGCGTTCTTTTTCATGTTTCATCAAGCTTCTAGAATGGATCAATTGCCATTACATCCACTGCTACTGCTTGGGTCCAAGATCCTTAATTTCCCCTTGAATTATTATCATAGCT